CCCCGCGCCCTCGCGGCGCTCCCGGCGCCCAGCGCTGCAGGCGTCCGAGGGCGGCCTCGTCGCGCGCCCGGAGACCCCAGCACACTCCCCCGGGGAACCCCTACCCTTGAGTGAACCCATCCCTGGGGCCCGGCCGGGAACAATCGGCTGCAACCCGATCCGCCTCTCCAGGGCCTCCCGCCGACGGGCCATTTCCGACCGGCCTGTGCGCCAGCAGTGGGAGCCCCTGCCTGCCCTCGGCTTCTCCGCCTCTCTGGCGGCAGCTCTTCCTCTGGAGCTGAGGCGGTTTGCAGCCGGAGGCCCCGCCGAGGGGCCTGTGAGCGTCTTGTCCCCCTTGTGGGAGCCTGGATCCCCGGCCCTGGGAAAGTTGGACACACGCCCGGTCAGTGGCCTCCTAACCTCCCCGTGGAGCCCCCAACTCTACCTCCTGGCTGCGGGCCCCTTGGAGACCCCTGAGATCTGCATGGTGGTGGGGCAAAGGTGGAGGCTGGGCTGGCCCCCACATTTGCTGAGTTAAGGCGAAGTCGCTTGCCCTAGGTCACAGAGCAAGTACATAGCATGCACAATCCGAGCGAGATCTGGCTGGCCGCCTTGATGCCCATCACCTCCCTCTTCCTGTTAGAACTCTGCTGGGTGGACTGAAATTCCCACGTGCATAGCAGGCATTGAGGACATGCTGAGGCGTGAGTGGCGAAGAAGGAGGGCTTGCATTGTCTTGAGAATTTAAGTGAGGTGTCAGAAAAGACTGAGGATGCAGGATTCGGGCCCCAGGTTGGTGAAGACGGAGGCCTTTATGAGGAGGACCTCTGAGCTGACCTGGATGGAGACTAGAAAGTAAACCATGTGGACTGGTGTTGAAGGCGGGGGTGGGGGGGGAGGTTGTGCAAAGGCCCTGAGGTCTCCAGGGCCAGAGAAATCCAGCATGCCTGGGAAGAACTTGAGGCAGGGAAACGGGACTGGAGGGGCCCTCTGATACTCGCTGGGACACTACTCATTTGTAGAGAGATAGCCTCAGGGCGCTGTCCAGAGCCTACTGTCCTGGGCCCTTGGGATCCAGGAAGAAGAGCTGGGAGCCTGAGGGTGTTTTGGCGTGCCCGGGCAGGTGCCAGGTTTAGTAAAGCTCACTGGGGGCGCCAGGCTGTGATTCAGGCTGATAGGGCAGGAGGAGTCGGAAACAGGAGCGCCAGGGTTGGCTCATTCCCCACCCCCTACTCCGCTAGATTAAAGGGCCTGGGGAAGGGGCTGGGCCCCTGGGGTGAGGCGGGGCGTGGGCGTGGCTGGAGGCCAGGCCTGCGTGGCAGGGGGCGGGTCTTTCCCCTGACAGGCCTTGAACTCCTCAAGCCCGGAAGGAGGAGGAACCTGGGCGCTCCTCCGCCCAGCCTGGGATGTGAATCTGCCCTGCTGCTGGCTGGGCCCAGTGGGGGCTGGGGCCGGGTTCGCGCTGCGGAGGGATCTGCAGTTTCCGATTTGTAAAGTGCACAGGTCCATTTGCCCCAGGCTTTGTGCCTGGGCGGAGGCCTCCGCTCAGGCGGAGTCGGCCCCCTTACCTTACCCAAGGCCTCCTCCTGGTCTCTGGACCCCCAGCGCTGCAACACTTTGTCCACCGAGTCTCACAGCCTCCTCCCGAGCTTGCATCTCCTCCTTGCATCTGGGGCTCATGCCCTGGCCTGGAGCCTGCCTCAGAAGCGCCCTCTCCCAGTCCCTCCAAAGGTAGCTGGCTGTAGGTCAGGCTGGGGCTAGTCAGGCGAGGTTTTGCAGGACGTCTAATAGTTCTCTTTAGGGACCCCAGTGATGTGTTTGAGAACCGAGGAGGGATTGGCAATGACCCGATAGTTTTCAGAGCTGGCGAGAAGGAGGGGGATGAGGTGAGGCAGCATATGATTCTAAGCCCCCGCCCCTCAGTGGGGTGGGTTGTGTTGGAGGGGCGCGCATTCTGAGCAAGGCAGGGGAATTGGGGAAGTATGAGGAGAGGGGGCCGGGGTGCTCCCTCTGAGCCCCTTGGGAGAAGCTGGAAGGCCGGAGTCGCACGGGGAGGTGGGGCCCGGGGCTCTGAAGGGGTGGAAGCTCCCCTCCCCCGCTCAGCCGGAGCCCCTCATCCCGGCTGCCAGAATCCTCAGCCAGTGACTCAGGTTTTCTGTGCTGCTGTGGATGAAAAGACAAATCCCGCAGAAAACCTGTTCCCATAGTAACGGGCTCCACTTAGAGGCTGGAGGCTGAGCGGGTGGCCTTTCTGGGCGGGGCCGGAGGGGCTGTGGGGCCGCGAGGGGGACAGCCTGGCCCTTGGCAGGTGGGGTGGAGGCTGAGCGGGGCAAGGGCTTTCCCCAGCCCGGTTCCAGAGCTGGACAGCACAGCTTGCGGTCTGACGAGCTGGGCTGCTGTCCTGTTCTGCCAGGGAAGGTGGCCGTGGCGTTAATGTCACACAGTTACTGATGGAGTGAAGTTCTAGGTCACCAGAGCTCAACTACCAGGCAGAGGTAGGCACGTTGATACCTGTCGTCCTAGTTCCCCAGGAGGCTGAGTCAGGAGGATCTCAAGCTTGAGGCTAGCCTGGGCAATTTAGTGAGACCTTGTCAAAATAAAAAATGAAACAAAAAAGTGGAAAAAAAAAAAAAGCCCAGCATATTGAGAAGGGCCTCCTGTTTCTGTGTGTGATGCTGTGGTTACCTGCAAGGGCGCTGGGAGCTGGGAGCTGGCTTCTACCCCTCCACTCTCCCTCCCCGCCCCCTTTGCTGTCTCTCCTGGGGTACTTAGGCTCCTCTCTTACACGGCTGGGGTGGCCCCAAGGGGCTTTGTCCTCCTGCCTGGCCCCTTCCTGCCCCCCTCAGGTGGTGTGTGGCCTTTTGTGCTGCTTACAGAGGTGCCTCTGACTCGGGCAGCTGCCTGGCCTGGAGGCAGGGGCCTGAGCCAGGGGTCGCTGTGCCCCTGGGTGTGGCCTTGGTGTCCCCAGCCCTAGGGGCACAGGCAGGAGGCTGGATGGGACGGAGGGGTATGGTCTTTCTTGGGGGCTCCTTCAGCCCTGCTGCAAGACCTTGGCCCAAGGGCATGCACCCTGCCAGGCTCAGCCCCCTCTCTGGGAAGCAGGGGTGAGGGTTCCCACCTCAGGCACTGATGGGAGACAGGTTGGCTTAGGGTGGTACCAGCACCCTTCAGACTCCCGGGTCCTCTGGGTGTTGGCTTCTCTGGCTCCCAGCCTTCCTCTCCTCTGTGGGGTGATCCTGCCACCCTGCTGGGTTCCCTGCTTCATAAAGGGGCCTGCTAGGTGACCTCCAGGGGGAGTGGAGATTTGTTCCCTCAGAACCAGAGAGCCCATCCCAGCCTCAGCTGGAGCAGTCAACCTGGATATGAATGCAGAGCTGCAGGGCTGGGCCAGACATGGTGATAAGCACCTGTGATCGGAGCACTTTGGGAGGCTGAGGCAGGAGGATCACAAGTGCAAGCCTAGCCTGGGCAATGTAATCACTTAGTGATACCCAGTCTCAAATTAAAAAAGAAAAGGGGTATGGGGCTGGGGGTACAGCTTGGTGGCACAAGTGCCTGCCTACGAGTGCAAGGCCCTGGGTTCAATGCCAGGTACCAAAAAAGGGGGGTGAGGATGTGGCTCATATGAAGACCCCAGGTTCACCCCCAGTGCCATCCCCTGGGCCCGCCAGGTGGTCCTGTGCTACGGAGATGTGTACAGATGCTACAGTTTGCAGACGCCCATCTGGGCAGAGACTGGGCGCATGCAGAAGAGTTGGGGGTGTTTGAGGGCGGGGATGCGTCTGACTCAGTTTAAATTTTCATGAATTTTCCAGATTTTCTCAAAGGAACATGCACGCTCATGCTTAACTTCCCCACACACACGGCAGCAGGAAGGGGATATAACGAGCCCCCGGATTCCAACCCCCCTGTGACGTTCTGCCGGCTCCATCTGTGGCTTTGGGTGGTGGTTGTGGTTGTATTTAAAGCAAATCCCTGACACCGGGGCGTTTTATCCTAAAATACTTCCATCTGGGCCTAAAAAACAAGGCCATCTTTTACATAACCATGACATAAATGAACAATAGCCGATCTCTAGTATCACATCGCGCCGGCCACGTCAGGGGTCCCCACCTGGTTCCAGGAAGGCTCTGTGGTTGCTGGATTGGGAAGTGTTGCTTCTTTTGTTTCTTTTTTTGTGGTACTGGGAATTGAACTCAAGGTCCTCACACTGAGTTACATCCCATTCCTTTTTTTCATTTATTTTAAGACCGGGTCTTGCTAAGTTACCCAGACTAGGCTCTAACTTGGAATCCTCCTGCCTCAGCCTCCCAGAGTCCTAGAATTACTGGCCTGTGCCACCAGGCCAGGTGGCACGTCTTTTTTTTTTTTTTTTTTTTTGTCTTTTTGAGACAGGGTCTAGCTTATGCAGTTCAGGCTGGCCTTGAGCTCACTTTGTAGCCCAGGCTGGTCTGGAACTCACAGCAATATTCCTGCCTCAGCCTCCCGAGTGCGGGGATTACAGGCGTGTGCCACCACGCCCGGCTTTTGTGTGTGTGTGTGTGTGTGTGTGTTTGAGACAGGGTCTCTGCTGTGCAGTATAGGCTGGCCTCGAACTCACTTTGGAGATGAGGCTGGTCTTGAACTTGCAGCCAGCCTCCTGAGTGCGGAGGCATGTGCCACCATGCCCAGCCTTTATTTTTTTTTGAGACAATCTTACTATGTAGTTCAGGCTGCCTGGAACTCACTTTGCAGCCCAGGCTGGCCTCAAACTTGAAGCAGTCCTCCTGCCTCAGTCTCTCAAGTGCTGGGACTACAGGTGTGCAGCACACCTGGCTACTTTTGTTTTATGTTTATTGTGCAACGATGCTGGGGATGCAGCGTAGGCCCTTGCAGATGTCCGGCTGAGCAGCACCACTCCCCTGAGATACTTCTTCTCCTGCCCCACAGAGTGAGTGGCGGCGGCTGGGACTCTGGCACTGGGTCCTGTTGCAGCCCTGCTGTACTGGCTGAGGGCTCTGAGCTGCACGCTGGGGTCCTTGTGGCGTCCCCGGTTGTTGGCATGTGGGTTGCTGGCCAGAACCTGGTGACCCGGTTCTCTGTACCAGCGCAGCTCCCTCTTGCAGGGATGGACCTGTCGGCCAACCAGGACGAGGAGACTGACCAGGAGACCTTCCAGCTGGAGATCGACCGTGACACCAGGAAGTGTGCCTTCCGCACGCACACGGGCAAGTACTGGACGCTGACGGCCACCGGGGGTGTGCAGTCCACCGCGTCCACCAAGTGAGTGCCCCGCCACCCCGCTCGTGGCTCAGCCTGGCCCTTCCCGGAGCCCAGGCGGCCCCCTGACCCTTTCCCGCCACCCCCAGGAATGCCAGCTGCTACTTTGACATCGAGTGGCGTGACCGGCGCATCACACTGAGGGCATCCAATGGCAAGTTTGTGACCGCCAAGAAGAACGGGCAGCTGGCCGCCTCGGTGGAGACTGCAGGTAGCCGCCAGGGGAACCCCAAGCCTCTGCCACCTGGGTGCCACCACGCCCCACCTACCCTAGGCTGCGCTGTCCCTCTTGAGCCCTTCCCTGGCTGTGCCTCCCCCTCCCCGCCCCCGCAGCCTTGAGGCTCACCGCCCCACTTCCTGCCCAGGGGATGCTGAGCTCTTCCTCATGAAGCTGATCAACCGCCCTATCATCGTGTTCCGAGGCGAGCACGGATTCATCGGCTGCCGCAAGGTCACGGGCACCCTGGATGCCAACCGCTCCAGCTACGACGTCTTCCAGCTGGAGTTCAATGATGGTGCCTACAACATTAAAGGCAGGTCCTGCCGGGCTGCTACGGGCGGCCCCTAGCCTTGGGGGCTGAGCCCTGCCCCCCCCCCCCCCCCCGTGGCCTGGCTCAAGGCCAGTCCAGGCCCCCAGGGGATGGATGTAGCTCCAGACTGGGAACAGCCCTGTCCTCTGTGGTCACTTGGCCCGCCCTAGACAGAGAAGGAGGCTGGGTGGGAGGGGAAGGAGCGAAACCCAGGGTAGGGGACCCTGACAGTGCAGAGGTGCTCAATTGGATCCAGGAGTCCTTTCATCCCAATGTTAGGGAGGCTGAAACAGGAGGATCACCAATTGAAGCCCAGCCTAGCAACTTAGCGGGACCCTGTCTCAAAATAAAATGAAGAATATACAAGGGTTGGGGAGATGTCATTCAGTGCAAAGGGCCTGGGTTCAGTCCTCAGTGCCAAGAAAAACAAAAAATAAGTAAAATCTAAAAAGAAGGAATGAGCCAGGCGTGGTGGCACACGCCTGTAATCCCAACACTTGGGAGGCTGAGGCAAGAGGATCGTTGTGAATTTGACACCAGCCTGGGCTACAAAGTGAGCTCAAGGCCAGCCTGAACTGAATAGTGAGACTTTGTCTCAAAAAGAACAAAAAAGAGAAAGAGAGAGAGAGAGAGAGAGAGAGAGAGAAAGAAAGAAGGAATGAAGGACTAAAAACCTGATTGATGTGTCCAGCATGGCTGGAAGGCACTGGGGGCACACAGACCCTGTCTGTTTTGGAAGCTGGGTGCAGGGGGCCTTAGCTCTTCCTTAGAGGAAGAGCAGGAAGCCCCTGCTGGGTGAGGTGTCCCCAGCGCGGTCTGACGGGGTCTCCCTCCCCAGACTCCACGGGCAAATACTGGATGGTGGGCAATGACTCTTCGGTCACCAGCAGCAGCGACTCCCCGGTGGACTTCTTCTTTGAGTTCTGCGACTACAACAAGGTGGCCATCAAGGTGGGCGGGCGCTACCTGAAAGGGGACCACGCAGGCGTCCTGAAGGCCTGTGCCGAGACCATCGAGCCCGCCTCGCTCTGGGAGTATTAGGTCCCTGCCCCAGCGGCCCGTCCCCACCCCCTCCCCGCTAACCCTCCTCCCTGGCGGCCAGGTGGCAGCCCCTTGCCTTTCAAACTGGAAACCCCAGAGAAAATGGAGCCGCCTGTGGCCCCGTGGATGTGGATGCCCCCCTGCCCCTCCCCTGAGGGGGTGTCAGGCCCCTCTGCCCTCTTCTCTGCCGTGGGCTGAGGCTGGCACCTCTTTCTTCTGACCTCAGACAACTCTGAGCCTTACTTTCCTGGAAGTGGCCAGGAGAAGGTGGCTGAGCCCCCAGGGCTGGGGCGCGTAACTGGAATCTGCTGTCCCCGCCGGCACCAGGAGGGAGCCCCTGAGCCATGCGTGCTCGTTGGGGTCCCAGCCCCTCTCCTACCTACCCTACTGGGGCCTGCGGGGCTCCCAGGTGGAAGCCGCTGGGTCTGTCCCCTGCGCATTCCCACGGGAGGGGGCCATCCCCCTCCTGCCTCTCACCCTGGCCTGACTGGAAGCGGAAACCGACCAAATCAGTATTTTTCTTTTTTTTAATGAAATGTTACTGCTGGAGGCAGCCCAGCAAGCCTGGTTGTACTTGTAAGTGGTCTTGGGGGGTCTTGGCATCTGTGCCCACCTCCCCAGCTGGCCCCCTCCTGTCCTCCCGCCATCCCCAGCTCTAGACTCTCCTGCCTCAGCCACAGCCCTGCTGGGATTGGTGCTCCTGGCTGACCAGACACCTGCACTCCTGGGCAGGACGGAGCCTGTGTCCCCCATACCAGCTGGGCGCCCTGGGGTCTCCCTCGGCCTCCTGGCTGCTAGCCCTGCCAGCCCCCCGCCACCGTCCCTCTCACTCTGGGTGTCTTGGTCTTTTATTTTTTGTAAGTGTCATTTGTATAACTCTCAGTGCCCATGATAGTAGCTTCGAACTGGAAAGAGCAAAATAAAATAACTTGCGTCTGCAGCCTCGGAGCGGCCTGTGTGTTTGTCAGGGAGACCGGGAGGGAGGCTAGCTACAGTGGGAGCACTCAGGAGGCTGAGGCAGGAGGATTGTCCTGAGTTTGAGACAAAGTGAGTTCAAGGCCAGCATGAACTGCATAGTGACACGCTGTCTCAAAAAAGGCCAAAAAAAAAGAGCTTCCTAAATTGCTTATTTGTCCAGGCTGGGTTTAACTTAAACTTGGGATCCTCCTGCCTCATCTTCCCAGAATTGCCGGATTCCAGGTATATATGGGCCACTACAGGTGCTTCTGGCCAGGGCTCCACTTTCCCTGACGGGAAGGGCCTTGTGTTCAGAGGCCCAGTCCTACCACCCACCAAGCACAGACTGGGGTCCCTGGAGGCCAAGCCCTCAGGGAAGGTAGCTGAGTGGGTTAGCTGGGAGCCTGGGGTGGCTGTGTGCAGGTAGAGGGCTGACCTCAGTCAGGGGATCCAGGGGGCCTCTAGGGAGCTGTTGCTGGATAGAACCCCACCTACATCCCAGCCTTTTTAATTCTGAAGATGGGTCTTGTCCTGGCTAGGGTCCAGTTTGCATCCACCTGCCTCAGCCTTCTACAGTGCTGAGATTACAGGCGTTTACCACTATGCCAGCTCCTATGGCTTCATTTTTCAGAAGGGGAAACTGAGGAAGAGTAGCTTTGCGGGGCAGCAATGGACAAGGGCAGAGCTGGCCACATCCCTCTCTGCTGGACCAGAACGCTGGTAGGGGGGCGTAGCGCAGGTGCTGATTGGCCGCCGGTAACGAAACGGGGCAGTCCGCGCTGTGGTTGGCAGTCCTCGCCGCGGGATAACAAGATTGATCGGACAGGTGGCGGCCACTGAGGAGGTTGGCTCCCCACGGGCTGGCCCGGCCCAGTGGAAGCCAGGCTGAGAGCCAGAAAAATCTCTGTGCCAAGTAGGGACAGATGAGTCCTGCGGAGCCAACTCTGGCTGGCGGGGGCCGCGGTGGGGACCCTGCCCATTTCTGCCACCAGCCTGGCCTGGCCAGTGACCTTGAGTTCCGTCCCCTGCTCCGTGGGAGCCATCAGCTGATTCTGAGCCCCTTGATCTGCAGCAGGGGGCGTCCCTCGGGGCTGTGGGTGACGCACGGGAAGGGCTAGGGTCTCTCTGAGATGTCAGGAAGGGCAAGCAGGGTGGGACCCCGGGAAAGGAGCTGATGGGTCCCTAGGCAGAGGGACCCACGTACCAGGCCCCTGTTCAGGGGAGCGGTGAGAAGCCCGCGGCTGCTGTCGCGGTGAGGTCTGGGGTGGGCGCTGGGCGAGTCAGAGCCACTTGGAGATGAGGCATCTGGGGAGGAAGGGACTGCAGGGCGCCTCCTGGCCCCGCCCCCTGTGGAACCCCTGTCCCCCTGAGCCCCGGGGAATCAGCCCAGGCGGGGATTCCAGACCTCAGTCACCTTGAGGTTCCCAGGCGCTGGTGACCAGGGCGGGCGCCGCGCTCGCACACGCACGTGTGAAAGCACACCTACGCGCACACAGACACCCGCTCCCTGAGCCCCCAGCCAGGCCCGCAGGCCCGGGTACCGACCTGTCCCCCGCACCCCGCACCCGCAGTGCCCGGGCGGACTCGGGTCCCCTCCCCGCTGTCGTGTGCTGCGGAGACAGTCTCACACCCCCCACGCCCGCTGCATCGGGGGCGGAGCTGAGGCCTGCAGCCCGGGGGCTGCTGGGCAGTGCAGCCAGGGCCCAGGGACTCGGCCTCACCCAGGACTCCAAGGCTGGTAGAGAGGGGAGAGGACATTTGTTCGCCTGTGCGGTTTCCCCGGCAGCAGGGATGCGGCTGGGCGGGAGGGGCCGCAGTGGGCAGCCTGCCGGCCCGGCCCACTCCTCAGAATGCTTCACTGCGACCCTGACTCCTGCTGGGGAATCTGCCGCGGGGGAGGTCCTTCAGCTTCCCGGGAGTCTCCACAGAACACCCCTCCAGGCCTCCTGCCCCCCTTTCCTCCCGTGGGGACCTCTGGGGACACCCAGGGCTTGTAGCCCCCAAGAGCTGACCTCTTATTCCTTTTGTTTGTTTTTCTTTTTTGTAGCACTGGGGGTTGAACCTAGGCCTTCACACTGAGCTACATCCCCAGCCCTTTTTTATTTTGAGATAGGCTCTAAGTTGCTAAGTTGCCTAGGCTGGTCTCTAACTTGAGATCCTCCTGCCTCAGCTTCCCAGAATGCAATACACTCTTGCTAAGAAGTTTAATGCACTGAGCACAGTGGTAATCCCTGTAATCCCAGTTCCCCTGGAGACCCAGGCAGAAGGAACGTGTGTTCCGGGTCAGCCTGGGCAACTGGGGAGATCCTGTCTCAACATAAAATACAATATATGACATCCCCAGTCTGTTTTTCCCTCAAGTGGCGACTTTCCGGGGCTTATGAGGTGGGGGAGGCCGGAAGAGGTCTTGGCAGTGCCCTTAGGGCTTCAGTTATTTGGGAAAAGGGTGGCTGGATTCCTGTCTTTCTGGTCCTCAGCCATTGTGTGGACGGGGAGGGGCTGAGCCCCCGGGGGACACAGAGCAGAAGGAGCAGATGGGATCAGCCCCATGGTGATGGTGACCTTGTGGCCTGAAACCCCAGCCCCTTAGTGAGTCCCTCAGGACAGGAGGAGGAGCGTGAGGACCCCTGCAGGGGCCTGGGGAGGGCAGCCCTGACCCTGGGGGAGGCAGGAAGGAGGCGCTACACAGGGACCCGAGGGCATCAAGCGGGCGGGCTCTGGTTAGCAGTGATGATGCTGTCCTCATTGTTGTGATCTTAAGAAATTAAAATCACCAAAATGAATAGAGCACAAAATCAAAGGTGCTTGAAAGTGTAAAGGAAATCCACGGAGCTGGGCAGGGCTGCATGCACCTGGTCATCCCAGCATCCTGGAAGGCTGAAGCAGGAGGATTCCAAATTCATGCACAGCCTGGGCAATGTAATGAGATCCTGTCTGAATATAAAAAAATTAAAAAGGAGCCAGGCATGGTGGCGCACACCTGTAATCCCAGCACTTGGGAGGCTGAGGCAGGAGGATTGTTGGGAGTTCGAGACCAGCCTGGGCTACAATGTGAGCTCAAGGCCAGCCTGAACTGCATAGCAAGACCCTGTCTCAAAAAGACCAAAAAAAAAAAAAAAAAAAAAAAAGGAATTATTCTCTAACCCTTATTATAGGAGGCTGAGGAAGAAGGATTGCAAGTTCAAACCCAGCCTGGGCAGTTTAGGGGCTTAGTGAGACCCCGTCTCAAAATAAAAAATATAAAATGAGCTGGAGATGTAGCTGAGGGCAAAGCCTGTGGTTTAGTCCCTAGTAAGAGAGAAAAAAAGAAAAAGAAAAAGAGAGAGCACACTTGCAGACAGGGTCTTTAAGGAGGTGATTAGGGTAAACTGAGGGCACAGGGGCAGCAGAGCTAGGTGTGAGGCTTGCCTTTGATCCCCAGCACTGCAAAATAAAATAGAAAAAATAAAATAGTCATTAAGGTGGGGCCCAATCCATAGGACCGGGGTTCTGCTAACGAGAGGGGAGCGGGGGGCTGGGGATTTAGCTCAGCGGCAAAAGCGCCTGCCTGGCAAGCGCAAGGTTGTGAGTTCGGTTCCCGGTACCGGAGAAAAACCCAAAACAACAACAACAACAACAAAAAACGAGAAGGGAGGGGAAGTCAGACACACAGAGGCTGAGCATGCGGGGCAGGTTACACTCACAGCTCCCCCCCACCCCCGCTTCAAACTCCAGCATCTGAGACTGGGAGAGAATAAATTGTTTTTGTTTTGATATTTTAGTATATGTGCTGCTGAAGCAAGCACTTCGTTTTTATTGTGAGACAGGGTCTTGCTGAATCTCTAGTTTGCCAGTCCGGGCCTGAACCTGCCACCCTCCTGCCTCAGCCTCCCTGGTGCTGGGATGACAGGTGTGTGCCTGCATGCCTGGCCAAGGCTGGAATTGTGTATATGCAAACATAAGATGCACGTTCAGGCACAGACACACAAGCAGAAGGCCCCGACCGTCAAGTATTCAAGGCCGAGGGGTTTATTTGGGAGGGGTTGTGGGAGGTACTGGTAGAGTGAGGACTCGGGACTCGCAGAGGTGAACGAGGCCAGCAGCAAGTCACGGAGTGAGCAGCCCCAGCCTAGCGAGAAAGTAGAGCAACAGAGTCACCTGCCCAGCAGCAGGGCCGCAGCCGCTGCCCACAGCTCCGCGGGTCTCTGCACCCCAAGGCGGGTCTGGCACTGCCCGCAGGCTGAGGGGGGCGAAGTGGGCACAGAAGAGAGGTGGGGGCCTCCCTGCGCCAGGGGTAGGGGAAGGAAGGTAGGGAGCCCCAGCCTGCCCGCTTCCTGGACTGCATTCATCATGCTACCTGTTAACATGACCCCAGAGTCTAGATTTTATTTTAATTCTTTTTTTATCTTTTTGAGATAGTCTCTCACTCCGCAGTTCAGGCTGGCCTTGAGCTCACTTTGTAGCCTAGGCTGGCCTCAAACTTGCAACAGTCCTCCTGCCTCAGCCTCCCGAGTGCTGGGATTATAGGCATGCGCCACCACGCCCGGTTCATTTTTTCTGATCGGGGATCGAACCCAGGGATGCACTACCACTAAGCTACACCCCTATCCTCTATGCTTTATTATTTTGTGACAAGATCATCCCACATTGCCCAGGCTGGCCTCAAACTTGTGATCCTCCTGCCTCAGCCTCCTCCCCAGTAACTAGAATTATAGACGTGTGCCACTGAGCCTGTCTTAGATTTATTTATTTATTTATTTATTTTTGCCTTTTTTGAGACAGGCTTCTGCTATGCAGTCCAGGCTGGCCTTGAGCTCACTTTGTAGTCCAGGCTGGTTTTGAACTTGCAACGATCCTCCTGCTTCAGCTTCCTGAGTGCTGGGATTACAGGTGTGAGCCCCCACGCCCGGCCCTGTCTTGGTTTTGTCTAGTGAGTGCAGATCGGAGTGTTAGCCAAAGAGCAAAGCGGAAACTCAGCCCCGACCGTCCATGCCGGCGCTGGCC